TTTGGGGACTATAACTAATATGAGATGGTAAATCCATTTAGTAACCTCCCTATGAACAAGGCAATAATTCCCTTATGCTCAACTGCAATTACTTGCGAAAGTAAATTTCTTACCCTCCAGCATAAAATGTTCAAATACCACAATCCACCCTGCAATGTGGTGCAGTGCACAAAGCACAAGCATTCCATGGAGGCTGTATGTTGTTTTTTTAACATTTTATAATTACTTATTTGTGATAAGTGATACCAGTTTTTCATTTATATTAATAGCATCAGATTAATAAATTTTCCTCTTAAATAAATTTCATTTAAAAATTTACGTAGTAAATAGATGTACAGATGATATGGATAACGTAAAAACCTTGAAGGTGGGATGCAGGTATTAAGGTCTGGGAAACACTGGATTGGATCACCTCGAAAGTCTTCTTTGTCCTTCTGTTCACTGCTCAACTATCTATCGGGCCAGGCTCTAAGGGTACAGAATGATTAAGAACCTCACATACCCTCAATGGCCCTGGTTAGGAAATCTAATATTTTTTATTTTATGAAAATAATATGGTTATTACATTGTATAGTAAGGTCTAATAGTGTTTACTAAATGTTTTCATAATTTAAAAGGAATCTCTTTAAAAGCAAAGGAACTGAAAATAGCCAAAAAATATTTTGTAATTATAAAGTGCAAAGTATTTAAATAAAAAAGGTATTCAAATAAAACATGTGCCTCACAATAAGTCTTAGTATTTTTAAAAAATGCCCCTTTTGCTGAAGGCACATCTATAAAGCCTGTTTTAGAACTTCCACAATGAGCTTATGTATCAAAGAAAGAAACCTCTCTAAACTGAAGAAACTAAAAAAATGGAGAACAATTTAAAGAGAAGGATACTGAAAAGATCTGAGCAAAGACATAGATTATAAGATCGTTTGGTCTCCTAAAGTGATTCTAAAGGAAACCAAAATAATTTGAATTACATTACTTTCACTTCTCTTGGTTTAAAGTCATACCTTGAAGAGAAGGGGCTATTTGCACTGTAGCCTACCCTTGTTTGTCCATCAAAACCAAGTCAATCTTAGCATACTAAAATATGACTCTATTATCTTTTGAGAAAATGTCACTCAACTACAATATCTCACATAAAGAAGGACACCACTAAACTCTATCCCTAACACTCATAACTTGGGAATCATGTAATGCCTTTTCTTTTCTACTAACCTCTTTAGGCGATTTTGTTGAACAAATATTTACTGAGAAATAACTACCGTAGAGTCTGAAGACACTAAAATCTAAAAAAACAAAAACAAAAACATAGTTCTTGACATTTATAGTAGGGGAGACAAACATACAAGCAAAGGTAAATAAATAATTACCATTTAATTCAAATAATAATAAAATCATGGGAATAACAACGATTTAGAAGCTGGTATGATTCTGTTGAGGGGTAGGGTAAGGCACTAAGTGCTAAGTACCTACTCAGTAGCCTCCTTCCTTACTGACAGAACCCCACACACCTGGGGTGGCAATGTGCCCTGTTAAGCAACATTTCAAGAAGGAGCTACAGGAAGCCAAGCCTAAACAGAAGTCAGTAGGTAAGATTTCCAGAAAGACTCTTTGAAAGGAACTGCAAAATATGCCCTTTTGAGTAATCCCCTACTGCAACTCTTCTTCTACCTGTCCAAAAAAGAGGAGGAGCAGATTAGAAGCAGCCCGGGACACTGATGATGTCTGGGTTGTCATACAAGCCCTGATCTGCCTCCTCCAACAGATACTTTATATGAGAGGAAAATAAATCTTTTGTTTAAATCATTCTTGGGTGACTTTTCTAAGTGATCAAATCTCTTCCCCTAGATATAAATGACACGAATATCAAGATTATTAAGGTGATTTTAGTAAAGAGACTGCACATGCAGCATTATGAAAGATGAAGAAAGTTTCCCAAGCAAAGATGGAAGGAAAAGCATGCCAGTCGGGTTTTTTTTTTTTTAAAGTTCTTGAACTGTGGCAGGCTGCAGAAGTGAAGAGGAAGGGGTAATGAGAGATATTTAGAAGATAAAACGAACAAACGTATTGATTAACTAAATGTGGGGAGGCTAGGGGCAAGGAGGAGCAAGGATGACTTGCAATATTCCAATGTGAGTCACTGGAAGATGAGTGGTTCCTGTGAGAGAAGGAAAAGAGGAGACTAAGAGTTAAATCTTAATATTAACACACTGAGTTCCGGGGCCTGGGAATTCTCAGTTAAGATGAATAGGCTCAGAAGAGAAGCCTGAGCTTGAGGAATCATTAATGTATAATTGCTAAAACTAAGAGAACACCCAGAAAATTAATGGAGGAATATTTCACAGCTTGGGTTGTGTGTGGGGCAGCGGGGAAAACTGGCATTTGACAGAACAGTTCTTCACCATGTGGCATTTGGTCTTCCTGGCCTCTGGAATTGGGTAGAAGAAGGGAAGAGAGTTATCACGGTATGAGATCACCTGAATACAGTAAGAAACAATGCAGGTCAAAAACAGTGCCCTGAGGAACAGTAACCTCCTTATGAGTGATAGCCACAGAGAAGGCAGAAGGTCACAAAGATGGGAGGACAATATAGACGATTAAGTCTCAAAAAGGAATGGATTTTTATATTAAGGATGTCACGATCACCTGAAATAGCGATTTAATATGGAGTGCTAAAATAGGAAGGAACAAAAGGAGGGAGAGGAAAAGAAAAGCCACAAAAAGAAAAGGGAGAGGGAGGACAGAGGAAGGAATGGGAGAGGGAGGGAAGAGGAAGAGCAAAGGAAAGACAAAAGGCCATCCTGGAAATAACTGAGGGAATGGGGAAGAAACTGGGTGCCACTTGGAAGAGCTGAAAGTGAAGCAGTGCTCCAAGAAAGTGGGAAATTCCACTTAGAGAAGATGGAGGTAATCTTTAAGGAAGAAGTGCGCATCCACCATGTGGTGCTCTCACAAGCTAAGATCATTTTATAGACATGTGTACACATCCGCCTGTAAGGCACACATTAATATTGCTATTTTATAGATAAGAAAACTAAGATTTTGGGATTAAGTAACTTATCCAAAGTCCTGCTGTCAGGGAAGTGGCTGAACTCATGTCTGTATGGATCCATTATGGACACTTGCTTTTTGTTACATTTCGTTCAATTCATTACATCACCTTCTACTACCTCACTCCGTAGGCTAAAAAAGTCTATCCCCCTCAAAGAATTTACTAAGTTTTATTTTCATTCTATGTTTATCCATATCTCTGAGTGAACTGCTTTCCCCTCAGTACAACACCTAATCCAGGCCCCAGAGCTTCTGAATAAATTCTGTTCAAAACTCATCTTATATCCTCTAAGAAATTAACAATACTCAACATGAGTTAGTTCAGTTTTTTACCAGATATTAATATTTAACTGCATTAATCTTTATTACATGTTTGTATACAGGCTCTTCACTTTAGTTTGTGGGCGTGTCTTCCCAACTAATTTACCAACACCTTGAGAACAGAAGCCATTTACAGTACTTTCATTTTGTTCCTCCGTTAAATGCAAATAAAACTCCATTATATGAAGCACAAGAGTGAATAAACAGTGTGGTTCATAAATAATGGACAGATATATACCAAATATCCACACATATTTAGAAAGAACATACTTATATTATACATATTTTTCTAAATGTATGATATACATTGAAATTTTTTAAATGTATAAAAAGTACTAGAATAACAAAATATAAACAAAAAGCACAGCCAAATAGCTATAAGATTTAAAAAGCAGGTAGTCTCTGAATAAAGACTGACATATATACTCACTAAGTATGAGGAGCAATGTTACTAAACAAATTTCTCTCGGATTCAAATAAAAATGTCTTTTTCTGTGTTTGTAGACATAATTCAAGACCAAAACAATTAAGAACCTTTTTTTCCAATTCCATAGTAAATCAAGCTATAGTTCACTCTGCCTTTCTAAAAGCATTTTATCTTTTATCAAATTGTTTCAAAATCACTGCATGAACAAAAGAGCCTAGGTTATTATAGCCATTAAAAATTTCCACTATATGAGAACAAGGAAACATTTCCTATCGCGTCACATGACAAATGTTTTCTAGTTTTCTATAAGCATTTACAATGTACACCATATGTGGTATGTACCTTTTATCTTGTGTCTTACCAATAACATTTATATTTATATATACTTGTTCAGTAATGAGACTGTATCCAGATAAGATTACAAAAATAGATATGAAATCTATATGCTAAAGTTGGCCGTAAGTATCCATTTGTTTTTAGCTTTAACTTGCTTTGAGGCAGAACCAGAAATGAGTATTTCCTAAAGTATATATTTTAGAAGACTATTTACATAAAAGAGAGCATCATAATTATACCACTCTGAGAAATACTGCCTCTGTCTTACAGTGATTTCAATCCTTTTCAAGTATGACTACAGCAAAAAAGAACCTTTTTTTAAAGTTTAATCAAGTGTTTCCCATTTTTGCCACCCGAGCCAGTTGGTGAGTGCTATCTATTTGACATCACTTTATAGATAGTTGAGTACTATCTCTTAATATGGACTCAAACGATTCTCTTCTTCATTTAATTAGGCAACCAATAAGTCTTGTCAAAACAGTAATCTCATGTGTATTTTACCACAGAAACAATCTCAAGATGATTTATCAGGTAAGTAAATATACTACCTTAAGATAAGGATTAGTAAAATAAATTTAAAGGCCAATTCTTGTTAAAAAAAAAAAAAAGTCTAACATCAGCTAAAATCTTCTAATAATGTAAATCTGGCTAAAACGTAAGGTTTTTGACCTGTTGACTAAAACTGTGGACTCTGACTCTTCTCCACAAAGAAACCATAAAATAGACACTGAAACCTCAAATGAAATGGGATCAAGAAAGCAATACTTCAAATTTAGTTTATTCTTCCTATTAACATTTAAGCCAACAAAACTTAAAACATAATCCATAATTTAAGTACTTATGGCACAGTATGCACATTAATTTTACTTACCAAGTCATATATCTGATTTGCCAATTGTACCTTCTCATCTGCATCTTCCAAAGCTTTATAGTAATCCTGAATAAAAACATTTTCATTTCAAGAATAAATTAATAATTTAAAAATGTGTATTCAGCACATATAACTGCATTTTCATTATCATACCTTATACTCAATGTCAGTCATCCTACATTAGCAATAAAAACCCAGTTAAGGATAGGATGGGGATGGGGTAGGATTAGAAATTATGTACAATGGCCAAGAATTAAAGGAAGATGTTCAGCATTCCTAAAAAAGATATAAGTAAAATTAAATAACAGTCCAAGTCTAGCCTCTAAACTAGTAAAAGTTACGTGAACTAATGAATAGTTCTTTTTCTTTCAAAGAAAATGTTTCAATTTATTTAACTAATAAAGAACATTTGCTCTCCCCATTTTTAAAACTTTTTAATCAAAGTATAACTATTGAAAAGATTCTGACCTGCATGTCCCTATTTTCCAATTGTTCTGGAACTCTCATTTTAAGTTAGGTATTAATTCATACAATTCAATCTGTACTTTAGATTTCTCCTCAATATAAAGCAAATCATTTAAAAACAAAAACATGATTCTATCAATTTACATGGAGAACTAGACTGTTAGGGATATAGACAAGCTGTACTACACCAAAAACTTAACAGGTTAAAGGGATGAAGACTGACTTTGAGTTGCAGAGCTGACCCTCGAACACGGTGTCCCCCATGTGGTTGAAAATCCATATATAAGCTTCTGACTAAAAGCTTAACTACTAACAGCCAACTGTTGACTGGAATCCTTCACTGATAACGTAAACAGCAGATTAATGTGTATTTTGTGTATTATGTTCTTATTCTTAGGATAAAGTAAGCTAGAGAAAAAAACGTTATTGACGAAATACATTTATAGTACTGTACTGTATTCATCAAAAAAAAAAAAAGCTCCACGTGTAAGTGGACCCATACAGTGCAAGCCCATGTTCTTCCAGGGTCCCCTGTACTACAGATGTGCGATCTGTACTCACATACACAAGGCCTCCAGGTACCTTCCAAGCCAGGACCAATTATGTGCTTCCCCCACGTGGCAAAATAAATAAAAAATACTCTAAATCTGTAGTTTCAAATTTCTTTCTCAGTTGATTTTTGAACAATTCTATGAAGGTTGGGGATGAGGGAGCCATTATTACTCAGAGATATTAAAGAACCTGTCCAATGTCACACAGCTAAATGGCAGTCACAACCAAACCCAGATCTTTTATGTAGTTCTTCCAATGTATCCCAAATACACCAGGTTATACATTTAAAGCAAACCTTGGGAAGAGATCTGATACTCATTCTAATCTGGAAGAGACCTGTAAGTACTATAAGACTACTCAAAATTCAAGGAATTCTGTACTCCTAGGCTCCATTCATATACAGATTTATAGTTTTAAACTAAAAGACTTTTTATGATCCTTTCAACACTTAAGATTGTGTTCTGTGATTCTACCAACTTAGGTACCTAACATTATGTAAAATATGCTTCAAGGTCAGCTAATTTTTACCCGTTTGTGGCCAAAATTGGAAGACAATGTAATATCTGTGAAGACAAGGCAACCTTAATTAGCTGTAACCAGAATAAAATAAAAGAAAAAAATTGGGACTTTTTTTATGATTCTGTAATTCTCTAATAAAAGTTGATAATTATTGAAACAAATTTTAAATTACCAAAATGATTAAAAATTCCTACATCTGAAGCTCTAAAACACAACAAATTATTTAAATCCTAAAGAGCCATTGATAACTTTCCCTCATTTTGATATCCAGAAAACAATTTCATTTTAAAATATCTTTCTCAGAGGACCCCAATATTTACTGATAGATCATCCAGAGTGTTGAACATACTTTTTTGATGGATGCCATTTGTTCTTCTCTCCACTCCGGTTTATTTTTCTTTGCATTCATAAAGAATTCACTGACTCTTTGTTCTAGTTGATCCATTGCATCTATGACATAATAAAAACATTTCATATTTAGATGACCAAATTCATACACTAAATATACATGCTTTGATTTGGGGAAAGAAAAAAATATCTGACAACATACACTCTTTCACTTGGCCAATAACTTAAATATGTCATGCTTTGATTATGTAAATGCTTTAATTACTCTAGTTAAAAAAAAAGTTACAATTTTCTCTGAAAATTTATATTTGTTGTTATGTCAAAATTTTTCCAGTAGTCAAAGTAGTCAACAACATATATAAGTTCTATACCATAGTATTTCAATAGTACAGCCTTTGGGTCAAAAGCTAATGGTATTAAATCAGCCAAATGTACCAAAGCACAATTTCTTATTAAGAGTACTACTAGATAATCCTCACGTTTCTTTTAATAAGAAAAAGTAATAAAAAGATTTTAACCTCTCACTATATGGCATTAAGCACCCCATCATCTCATATCATGACTGACAGCAGAAGGTACATCATTTGTTCACTTGATACACTACATTATTTATTCTAGATAAGTTTTTCCCTAAGTGTGTGCCAAGAATAGTCATCTCATTCCATGTCTGCTAAAAAAGGAAAAGTCAATTAAAAAAAAAAAAAGTGATTCTGTTGCTATGTAAGTGAGGGAAAACCTTTTGGAGACTTTTCAGGGCAATAATATAATACGTTTTTAAAGATTCTACGAAGTCTTACAGTTAATTTTTTAAAAATTTTCCTGTGTTTAAATCAGCAATTTCTAACTTATTTTACAAAGAAGTCTCTTTTATTAATCCATAGTACCTATTAACTTTAGAAAATTCTAATTATTATAAAATGCAAGTTTATAAAACCTCTCATTTATATAATCTAAGTACAAATCACAAGAGAATTTAAAATTTGTAATGATAATGAAGGAGAATAAAATAAGTTACCCTTTATTGAATTTCTACTTTGTATCAGATACTATAAATTCTAATTTAACTGTGTTATTTTAAATCCTCAGATAATTTTCATTTTATAGACAATGAAAACCATGGTCAAGGTCAAAAAATAAGTAAAACTCTAATACAAACTCAGATCTATCTGACATCAAAACCTGTAGAAAACACTACTTTAGCATTTTTTTAATTAATTAATTTATTTATTTGACAGAGAGAGACACAGCGAGAGAGGGAACGCAAGCAGGGGGAGTGGGAGAGGGAGAAGCAGGCTTCCCGTGGAGCAGGGAGCCCCATGCGGAGCTCGATCCCAGGACCCTGGGATCACGACCTGAGCAGAAGGCAGCCGCTTAATCAACTGAGCCACCCAGGTGCCCCTACTTTAGCATTCTGACTACATTTAAGTTAAAATGAATTTTGTGAGCGAGCTAAAGAAATACACAATTCAGACTTCTACACTACAATCCACTGAATAAAAGAAGGCTTCCATATCATATCAACTTGTATTAAGCATGGCCACCTGAAACTGACAAGAGGCTGAGAAATGTATATTCATGAACAATGGACATGGAAGTGCGTGGAGGGCTAGGGGGGTAGAGAAGCAAGAGGGAGAAAGAACAGGTCCTTAACTACAAGGGATGCTGGTTCTCTGATGTCTTTCCATGATACCCCTTTCCTCCCAATCATACCCCAAAATCCAGATCTTCCTCCACCTCTACTTTTCTGAGAAACAAACCTGGCAGCATGAGAAACATTTTATGTATATAGCCTAAACCTAGCTGGAATAAATGGGATCAAGAAACATATTTTCTGGGGATAGACCCCACGAAGGCCAGTCATTACTATCATTTAGACAATTTAATTAAGGAGTACCTACATCTAAACAGAGACTAACATCCAGCCATAAAGGTACACCTAATTGTACATTTTAATTATGTACCGTATAATTCATTTTGCACTCTTAGTTTTTAATACAGTAGCTCTACAAGATAACTGGAACAGATATATTACATTCATTTCATAAAAGGGGAAGGTTTATGAAGTTCTTTCAGAGCATGGTGGGCATGTATTTGTACTCATTTTAAGTGTAATTTTAAGTGTAATTTCGCTCTAAGTTATTTACCTTCTTATCTCCAAAGGCACTGACTCTTTACTTTCTTTGAACCATAAACCTTTTTTTTTTTTTTAGAAACTTCACAGAAAAAATGATCAGATAAACCAAATACCACTCTATGAAAGAACAAGGTTAATTTTGGGAAAAAGTAACCAGACTACCAAGCTATCACTGATAGAAGAAAAAGTCAAAATTTTTATTACACCAGATAAGAAGCTTTACAGTAAAATCTATTTCCCTCACTCATTTTGATTGAAAAAGTATCATCCTGTTGACAAGTGAGAATGTATCCTATAATGTGTAACTTTTCCCAAAATTTGACATTCCAAGTTCACCAGGGTCACTAAAGAATCGCATATAGCCTATGCTTCTGTATTTTCCATTCTTGAAAATTTTGGAATAGAAGGAACTTTAACAAAAGTATAAATGCTGAAATCTATGTTCCATACGTAAGGGCTCAAATCAAAATCTTCTCAACATTTACACCGATGTGCATTAAGACATATATCTACGTTCTCACTGAAGGTACAGAAACTTTTATTGCAGAGTCTTGAATTCGAGAAAGGAACACATACACGTGCCCTTAGTGCCTCCTTCTCTTGTAAAAGCAAGAAGGAGAAAAGTAGCGTGGGAAGCAAGAGGCAAGATTCGGCACTGCCTTTTCTTTTTTTACAACTCCTTAAGCACTAGCCAGTGAGCCGGAGGAAAGTCAGAGAGCAGAGGCGATGAAGTCGATGGCAAGTAAGTCTGGCAGTGAACGCGCGCGGCCAAGACGGGCAAACGCGCCGACTTACTCTGCACCTGCAGGTCCATCTCGCGCATCTCCGTGAAGCGGTCCCGCAGGTCCATTGGAAGCTGCTCAATCACTGTCAAAGGGAGAGTCCGTCAGAGGGGCGGGGCCAACGGCGAAAGTACGCGCTTACGTCACTGCGTGCGTGCGTGCGTCGGGGGGGTCGAAGGAGCCGGCAGCCCACAGCGAGGCTGCCAGTTACCGTGAGAAAGAAACATCCCCCGCCTCCCCCTCCCTCCCGCCATCCCGCCTGCCCGTCCACTCGCGCTCTTGCCCGCCCGCAGGTCCCACAGACGGCCCCCGCCAGCGCCGCCCACTCACTTTCCAGATAGTCCTCTAGGTACAACATCGCGGCCCTTAGAGCTGGGGGAACGAGGGGGTCCAGGGGTTTATTTGTGTCACTCGCTGTCGCCGGAGTTTTGTCCCTTCCAATATGGCGCCTCCGCTAGCAGCACCCGCTCAGCTTCGGCGGAAAAAAAAAAAAAAAAGAAAGAAAAAAAAACCACTTTGGCGCCTGACGGCGCTTGCCTCACTGCCGCCCGGAGCTGTCATTGGTTGGCTGAAGCAATGACGTAGGCCGACGGGAGGCCGCCCCCGCGCCTTTATGGGAAGTGTAGTTTCATTCCCTCCCAACAGGGATTAATAATGCTTGACAGTTACCCACGTAGAAACTACAAAAACCAGTCGTCCTTGCGAACGGTGCGCAAGAGAATCTGAAATGCGGTGGCTCTGTTTATTTGTTGATTTTTGCACAGGGAACGACGGGAGTTGTATGCGCCTGCAGAACACAACTAGGAACAACTTTTCACCTGTTCTTTACTGCTACGGTTCCATGCCCTGGCGTTTGTGAGTCATAGATTTCAAGTAGTACTAAGCAAATAGAAAGTGTTCTGACGCTAGAATAATCAGCAAAGTTCGGGCGACTTGGATTGTTTAAAACAGAACTCTTTGATGGAATTTATCCTTAGTATCCACTGCTAAAAATATAAATGGGACGTCTGGTTGGCTTCCTTGTAACTAAAATAGTGTCACTAAGAATATGGGGTGAAGATGAATTTCCCATATTAAAAGATATAGAAATAGCCCTCGACAGCCTCTTACATATTTTATTTTGCGGTCTGTCTCATCGTTAATCGTAATGTAATTGAGCTATACGTAGAATCTGCACCCAGAAAAAAAAAAAAAGAAGAAGAAATAGCGAGCAAGCAGAAATAACGGATGAAGACTTAATATCTAATGAACTATCCTAACAATAATTTTAGATTACGTTAAGTAAATAGCCTGTATTGGCTGTCTATAGTCCTGCGCGGTGTCTTTTTCTACCTTTTGACTCCTCCCCGAAAGTGCTCACCAGTGATATATTTAGTCCCTTCACTGCTCAGTTTTCTTTTTCTTAAAAATGTTTGCACTCAGTAAAGGTTGGGTATTGTTCTTTTCCACCTGTCTTAGCTCTATTCGTTTTTGGGGAAACAATTTAATGTTGTTTTTTTTTAACTTTTTATATTTATTTATTTTTTAAATTTTATTTTATTATGTTAATCACCATACATTACATCATTAGTTTTTGATGTAGTGTTCCGTGATTCATTGTTTGCTTATAACACCCAGTGCCCCGTTTAATGTTCCCTCTTTAATACCCATCACCGGGCTAACCCATCCCCCCACCCCACCCCCACCCCCAGAACCCTCACTTTGTTCTGTTTTTATATTTTTCAGATTGGAGTTGAAACATTTTATGCATTTGAGTTTCCTCTTTTCCCCCTCTTCTTCATTTTCTTACGCTCAAGATTTTTTCCACTGCTCTTAATCAGGATACTTACCTGTCCTATTGATGTATGTCAAAGGAAACTTACCTCAATTCTAATAATTACCTAGTTTACTTTCTGTACTTTAATCTAAAATCTAGTGCTTCAGTCTTACTCGTCCTTACGCTCCTTACGCTCCTTCCTTTCTTCTGGCTGCCTTTAAGATCTCTTGGATATTTTTGCAGTTTCTCAGTGGTGAATCTAGGTATGTAGTCATTTCTTTCCTTCCTTCTTACCATTCAAAAAATGTCTAAACCATGCTTAGGATTTTAAAGGATTGCTGAATCTTAGGATTAGTGTCCTGAAAAAATTGTAGAAAATTCTCAACCATTATCTCTTAGACCATCTATGGGACATCTCTAAGACTTTCTCACTTTTTCCTTCTTTTCTTTTTTTTGGCCTTTTACATGGTCCATCTCAATATTTTCAAATAACTTTATTTTTACAAATTCTATTTAGTTCTTTTTGAGCCATTTTCTAGTTTCTTATATGAATTAAACATAATATTAACATAATGTAAACATTAAATGGTCTGTGTTCTGTGTCTGTTACATCCAAAACTGAAAGTTTTATGGGTCTTTTGGGCTGTTTGTTGTTTCTTCTGGCTTTTGCTCATGGTGTCTGTTTCCTTGGCTGTTATGATTTTGGATTCTGCACTTAAGTTTCTGGGGTTGTAACTGTCAGGATTCTCTAAGGCCAGAGTTAAAATTGAGTTTTCCTAGACAGTATTAGAATTTGCTTCTGCAAGTTGCATGGAGGCACCATTAACTCTACGACCAGATTAAATTTTCCACTTAAAGAGTTTGGACTGCACAGATGGATTTCATTTGGCCTCAGATCCAAGTGGCTTGGATTTGATTCTCAGAGGACATTCTCAGAAGAGACTTTTTCTTCCTGTCCTGGATTCCAAGGTCAAGTCAGCCATGTTTCTTTACTGACTTGTGCATCATTTCTTTCTCATTCACCCTTACACTGGGAATACAGCCTTTTGGGGCCTCAAATTTTGCCCCCTATCAGAATCCTCCTTTTAGATGGGTTATTTGTAAAAATCCTCCATTTAGGTGGCTTTCTTTCCTGACCTTGGCATGCTGCACAGCTACCAACGCAGGAGCTGTAGGTGTCCAGAATTCAACAGATAATCTCTTAGCAACATCCCACGTTGGCCCTCACTTATTTCTTAGGATCCTCTCATTCTGCTTCCTTTCTTTTGTTCCTCTCTGAGAATCCCTTCATTTCCTACCAGCTCATCAATGTATTTGATTTTTTTTTTTTAAAGCCTAGCAGTTTTCATTGTTTTCAGCAGGTGGTTATTCAGAGTAGCGAAAGCAGCATGCTGTGAGAAATAAGAGTAACAGAAATTGAAGTCTTATCATTTCAGTGAAAACTGAGTTTTTTCTGGGAGTTTTCTATATTAAGGAAAATGAAGTAATAGATGGATCCCAGTCCCTTTAATATACATACACACTTTAGAGAAACCAAAAAATAATAAAACTTACATGCTATATATTTTAATGAATGTAATTCTTATTCTTGAACCATGTATCAGTTGCAGAAAGTTGCACACGTACACACACATGATAGTTTCTTACAACGTTAGGTTATATAGGAGATGCTACTTGGGGTGGCTGCCCATTTACCCCCACTACCACATTTCTAGGCATCATGGCTCAGATACAGGGATGTCCGTATCTGTAGTATATGACTGTGCTCTCTGATCCTCACTCAGTAATTTACCAGGGACAGACCAAAGCTGGGCCTATTGGATGCACTCTTTTGGGATTTGAAATTGGGAATGAAGAGAGTTGGAGACTGAAGGCATTGTGGCAGATCTGTAGCACAATAAATACACGGTCCACAAGCTCCTGCTGCTTGGGATTCCTGAGCAACTCTAGGGTTCTCCTTGCCTTTTCCCCCCTTGCTCTGTCACTTTCTCAGAGACCTTGAGAAAGTGATTTTAACACTCTGTCTCCATATTCTGATTTGTAAACTGGAAATGGCCATAGTAGCTAGTGTTAGATCGAAATGGTATTGTCTATGCAAAGCGCTTAGGTTAATGCCTGGTAAATGATATGATGCAATAAATGCCAGATTCTATTACCATCATCATTAATACCCTTAAGTCCCCTCCTAAGTGATTCATATTGCAAATGCTTCTTTGTGCTTCTCTTACGTTTGACTTGTGCCCCTGCTTATTTTTTGGCTGGACATCACCTCAAACTCCAGGATTATCTCACCTCCAACCATTGTACTCACACTGTCATAGGAAATTCAAAGGAGAAGTGATGCGGGGAAGGTTATGTAAGAGGACTATGCTGAAGGCTACTGGATCAGTGGAAGCAATTAGAATGTAGGGAGAAGATTCAAAATGGATGCAAAATATGACTTTTACCAGGAGTTGAAGAAAAAGGAAAATTTAAATCCTTCATATAGCATGTTTTCTGGTGGACCTTTGCCTTTTGTCTTAAGATCCTACTACTTCCCTGTCTTATAAAGAAAACCACCGTCCTGAAACCTTGCTAGTAAACCTTGAAATGAAATATTTTCTTAACTTTGTGCCAAGTAGTGTATCCTCCCTGAAAGACTTTTGTAATATGGGAAGAAGGCAGCTAAAAGTCTGTCTTTATACGAACGATTCTGATTTTACGTCTTTTAAAATCTGTTGAGTCACTCACTGGGTAAGTTATAAGCAGCAGAATAATGACCCTCACGTTACATATCTATGGATGCTTCCAGCTTTTTCTACTCTAAGTACCCACTACCAAAGACCCTTCTAAGGACGGTTCTAGTCTCCTGACTTCATTTCTGGGTGTTTGCAATGGAGAATCTGGAGAAGAAGGGAGGGGGAAGAAGACAACAGAGGATGAAGGGGAGGAGAGTGGGCATTCAGTGGATGGGAGAGGGAAGCCAAGAAGCAGGGTGATGGAAAGATGGGTATGAAGCTGTTACAAAACCATTCCCTCAAAACAAAGGGAAATTCTAGATAACATATAAGAAAAAAAGCTTAAAACTAAGACAATGAAATCCTCAGCTGCCAGAAGTGAAGAGTCTACTCAAAGTCCCAGTAGTGAACAAGAGCTGGAGCTGAAGGAGGAGAAGGTTGATAGGCCTTAACTTGTGGGTCTTGGGGTTCTGACTGTAGTGAAGACACTACAATGTGAAGCGGACTCCTAGGCCCAGGATGGAGCTGGGGTGCCATGTTAGCAAACTGAGACTTAAATGATAATTTTCATGTCCCTGTAAATGTTCCACTTGACCGGAAATGCAGTATCTCCCAATCAGCCAGTCCCCAGATGCCAAGTTAACTCTGGGCTGTATATTTATTTCCTTATTTCTTCTTATGCCAAAGGAGGTTGACTATGTCGCTCCAGCTACTCAGATACTTTCTATTTTTTTCTTCCTTGGTCTTTTTCTTTATCTTATAAAAGCTTCCTGCTTTCCACCCCATTTTGTAGTTCTCTGAATGGAGACTGTCCACTTCACAAAGTGTTAAATAAAGATTTTGTATCCTCTAAATTGTCTTCTTTAATCTTTTTTTCAACACAAGCCTCAGGTCATATCCTTGTAGGGAACTAAAGATAACCACCTTGCAAAAAGCCAGCAGTCTCAAAGGACTGCTTCTGTGAAACCACCTGGGGAAACATCAAAGAAGCCATCCATCCACCTAAAATCATGGGAGAGAAG